TATCAAATGCTTTTTCTGCATCAATTGATATGATCATGTGGTTCTTCTCCTTTGTTTTATTTATGTGGTGGATTACATTGATTGTTTTTCTGATGTTGAACTAAAGTTACATGTCATCTTGGCTGGACCATGAATTCTCAGTGGTCTGGCAGTTATGTAGTGATGCAGTCACCTTCCATTCTGTGAACTGATGTGGTCATCCTCTATTTTTGAATAGTGCCAGTTTTCACATAATGACCTGGTCTTTGCAACCGACCCATGTTAATAAGGGAGAAGTAGGTGTATTCACATAGTCTCCAAGTAAAACCCCACAGATTACTCATTAAACACAAAGGAAAACAGGTACCTTTACCACAGAGAAATCTGGCAGAAATGTGTTAAATCTGATTAAATTTAACATCATGTCTGATGTAAAGTATTAGGAAGCACACAACCTCACCTGTACTGTGTTGTCAAAAATGTGCAACTTGAATCAAATGATGAGGGAACTATCTGGTAAGTAAAATCACGAGGAAATAATTAGCATTCTGCAAAACAATTGACATGGAGTGTTATACCAATGCCGTAGAAAACAATAAAAGGCTAAAAATGGTTCTAGATTAAAAGGAACTAACCAAATTCACTACTGTGGAGTCAGAGCTGACTCACAGCGACCCCTCCTTGGGTTGCTGAGGCAGTATCACTATAGAAGTAGATTGCCCAACCTTCCTTCCAAGGACTGGCTGGTGGGTTTGAACCACCAGCCTTCTGGTTAACAGTCAAATGCCTTAGGCACTACGCTACCAGAGCTCCTAAAAGGAACTAAAGAGATAGGAAAACAAATGCAATGTGTGATCTTTGGGCAGATAAAGAAGGTGTTAAAATAATAATAAAAACTACAGTCCTGAAACCAAAAGACCAGCTATAAAGGACATCACTGGGATGACTGCATGTGGATTGTACATTAAATGATAGTACTGTATCAATGATACATTTCCTGAGTGTGATAAGTGCAGGAAGATGCCCTTATAAGAAAAAGGTGATACATGCTAAAATATTTAGGGGTGAAGGTTCATAAAGTCTGCAACTAACACTTGAAGCATTCAAAAAAAAGCATACAGGAGATTAAGATAATGTGGCAAAATGTTAAAAACTGATGAATCTAGGCAACGTACCAAATGTAAGTGATCAACACAGTGGCACTGAAGAAAAAGACAGAGAGGTGCATGGGAGGTACAGACAATAAAAACGAACCCTTTTGCACATACAGTACTGTGCTGTCAGTGAAGGCAAACATGGATATACGGGTGGATAGATGGGTGGACAGGCTAAAGTATTAGGGATATCTATGAAGAGGGGAGCTCTGGTAGCATAGTGCCTAAGGCTCTTGACTGCTAACCAGGAGGCTGGCGGTTCAAACCCACCAGCCACTCCTAGAAAGGAAGGTTGGGCAATCCTACTTCCGTAGCGATAACTGCCTCGGAAACCCAAGGAGGGGTCGCTACGAGTCGGGGCCGACTCGACGGCATATAACAACAACAACAACAATATGAAGAGGGGAGTGTGCCCATGACTATGTATAGGGTTGGCAGACAATGTTTCTACAACTGTATTGGTATGTTCTTTAAGAATTCCCAGGTATACAGTAGAGCTGACAAGGGACAAGGTTGTAGTCATTTCTTGGCCACAGCCAGCTACCCAGAGGGAGTGAGCAGTTGGACCTGTGGGCTCGGGACCATAGTCACAGGGGACATCAAGCTCAATTGGCAAAGCATACTACACAAAACACTGTTCCACATCCTGCTTTGGCAAATAGCGACTGGGATTTTAACAGCTTGCAAGTGGCCATCTAGATGCAACAATGGCTCTCTCCTTGTCCAGAGCAAAGAATGAAGAAAACCAAAGATTCATGGAAACAATTAGTCCAAGTGACTGGTACACCATGTGCTCCTCAGCCTATATGACTATGAGACGACTAGATGGTGCCCAGCTACCACTGTCAACCACTCAGAGGGGGATCTATGTAGCAGATCCTGGACAGAGTGGGAGAACAACGTGGAACAAAATTCAAAATCATTAAAAAAAAAAAAAAAAGGGACCAGGTTTGCTAGTCTGATAGAGCCTGATGGAACCCCTGAGACTGTGGCCCCCAGCTGCCCTTCACATCTGGAATTGAACCCACTCCTGTGGCTTCCAGCCAAACAAAAGACAGGCATATGAGGTGAATGTTTACATTAGGTAGATACACTCCTTGGAGAGATCAATCATGGGAGAATACAAGGGCAGTGTATGCACAGGGAGACAGCTCAGGAAGTAGGAGTGCACAGGAAGGATGGATACAGGGAAGAGGTTACTATGGGGAGGAAGTGGGAGGGGAGCTGTTGCATTATGGGAAATTGTAGTCAATGTCATGAGACAAAGTGTATGTGAGCTGCTGTATGGAAAGTGAATTTGCTCTGTAAACTTTCACCCAAATCACAATAATAAAAATAAAAGAACAGCAACCAAAACTGATTAATCTAGGTGATAAGCATATGGGTGTGCACTGCACTATTCTCGCAACTCATCTTTTCTGTGGGTTTGAAATGTTCAAAATAAGGAGTTGGGGGTGGGGTGGGGACCTGACTGAACCCACTGGCCTGGGCCCACTTCTACTCTGTGTCCACTGCCACTCCTGTGGACTCATTTGTACCGTTTTATCACATCTGGCATTTTCTGTGTGTGTTTTCTCTTCAAATACGTTGAAAATAGGAAAGAGAGTTGAGATGTGACCAGGAGTGAAAGATTTTTCTGCTAGCCTTCCTCACTGCTTTGAACATCTCCACTCCATTTCTTGTATCTTGCCCCTGGCTCCCATTCTTTTTCCCAGGGAATAGACAGCACTGGAAGTACCTGTGGAAGTCACTCAGGTGTTCTCCATCTATATAATCCTCCAAGGTCAAAGTCAAGTCTGCCACTTGCTGTGAACCACATTCCTGAATAAATGGAAATAAAAAACAAAAAACTACAGTGAGAGGCTGTGGGCATTTCTGGACTAATGGGTGGGAGACATGAAAGCAACAATTAAATATTCAACCTAAAGAAACACTTGTGCACAATGACACAGATACAGGACTGTTTGTAACAAATGAACTCCCCTTCTAAACCACGGGTGCCTCTGATTTAGGAACAGTCTTTCCAACCAAGGCAGAGGCAAGAAAACCTACTTCCTTTGGCAGCTCAACTCAGGCATGTTAATTGAGGTGCCAAATGGATGTGCGACTTTAAGTGGGAGGCGAGCAACCTGGAGACATAGGCCCAGTAAGGGACAGACATCTTGCTAATAAGGCAGCTGGAGAGCAGCAGGGGCCACAACATCAGTGGCTCATAAGAAGGGGCACCACGGTCGGCAGTATTAGCCAGTAGCTAATGCTTGAGAGTGGTGACAGCAGCAGTGGCTTCCATAACATGGTTTGGGCCACTGTCCCTAGAAACTCAGCCTTTAACCCTCTCCAGCCCTGCCAACAACTTATTGAGCTATCCCAGTTATTTTTCTTTAAATGTATTTTCTTGTTACTGTTGACAATGTACACAGCAAAGCATCTACCAATTTGATGGTTTCTCATGTACAATTCAGTGACATGGAATACATTCTTTTGAGTTGTACAACCACTCTCACCCTCCTTTTTGAGTTGTTCCTCCCTCATTAACATAAGCTCATTGCTCCCTAAGTGTCTTATCTAATATTTTGAGTTGCTGTTGTCAATTTGATCACATATCAACTTCATGGTGGGATCTACCACAAGCAGCTGAGTAGCTGCCTTTGGGATGTGGTCTGCTTCCCATATATAAGAAACAGCTTTGGGAATGGGCCCTAGCCTATGGCATGCTTGAACCCTGCGTGTAGCCGTGTCATTGTTCAGCAGTCTGCCATGCTCTGCCAACCTTGGGACTTTCAGTGGAGTTGAATTAATGGCCTGCTGTGTGGTTTCATAACATTGGGGCTGTGCCTTTTTACTTGTTAACCTTGGGTTTGTCAGCCTCAGCAGCCAGCAGCTGAGTGAGGAAAAGCCTCCAGCTTCAGTGGGCCAGGAACAGGAGACAGAGCTAAAGCCAAGGTTAAGGGGCTTTCAAGCAGCCCCTAGAGTCTGGCATTTTGAACTCGGACTTCTAGCCTCTACACTGTAAGAGCATAAATTCCTGTTTGTTCAAGCCATCCACATTTGTGTTATATTCCTGTCAGAGAGGCACTAGGTAACCGGAACAGTAGCCAAGCATTTAACCACTGTACAACCAGTACTCCTTACTGGAGCTACAATCAGCTTTTTTACTCCCATGTTATCACTGAATGATAAATTACTTAATCATTCCTGTGTTAATGTACACCATCACCACCAGCTGCCACTGAGTCAGTTCTGATTCAGGGCATCCCAGGTGAGTCAGAGTGAACTGGGCTCCACAGGGCTTTCAATGGCCAATTTTTCAGAAGGATCACCAGGTGTTCCTTCCCAGGCAGCTCTAGGTGGACACAAACCTCCACCTTTCAGTCAGCAGCTGAGGATGTTAACGGTTTGCACCACCCAGGGACAGCCTCTGCTTTTATAACAACAGGTGGTAAACATCTTTGTGGACAAAGCTTTTCTATACAGGCAGTCCCTAGGTTATGAACATCTGATTTATGGACAACCTGTGCTTGCCCTTTAATGTTATATAAATTTGCCCTCACTTTGAAACAACTGAACCAACCCCTACTTTCAACAAATTCTTCATCACAGTCACCTTCACTTGCTGCACGTGCAGCTTTTAAATCACTGATGAGCCCTTTCTTGCCCTAAAGTGAGGCTAAGTAAGAGCCATATGTACCTGTTCCAACTTACCTACAAATTCAACTTAAAGACACACTTCGGAATGGATCTTGTTCATAACCTGGGGACTGCCTGTATTTTAATTCTCTCTTCAGGACAAAATTCCAGAAGTGGGATCATGGGTAAAGGTCCATGAACATTTAAGGCTCTTAAGCCATACCATTAAAAGGGTTCTTAAAGGGCCATTGCAATGTCCACTCCATCAGCAGACCCCTGTGTGTTCCAGAGACTCACCAGCACATTGATGATCATGCTGTTCTCCACTGTGACAGCCTTCACAAGGAGCTTTCTTGACTCATCTTTAGACTCATACCGGAGGACATATAGGTCTTTATTGTTGTTCCACCCAGCTGGCAGCAGTTCTGATTTCTTATCATTGGGGCCTGGCTGAGAAGACACCCAGAATTGAGAGGAGGCAGATCATGATCTCACAACAAGAGCTATAAAGAGCCTTACAGATAATCTAGTCTCACCCCATCACTTCACAGATGAGGCTATAGATGTCTAAAGACATGACTTGTCCCAGGTCACACAGTAAGTCAGAGGTCTGAGACCCAGGTCTATGGATTCCTGGAATACCACTTTCTCTTGTATATCCAACGCCTTTCTGACACACCACCACAGCCTTTCACGAATCTGCAACCTTTGCTTTACAATCATCTCCCCTCTAAGCCCCTGCCAAGAATATCTCAAGGGATGCTATGAAATTCCAAGGCACTATTTTTCAACCTGGACTGTGGGGCCATCTGTAAGAGCATCACCAAATATTTTTCAAAAATACAGATTCTACTCAACAGACCAGGAGCTCTGGTAGCATAGTGTCTAAGGCACTTGACTGCTAACCAGAAGGCTGGCGATTCAAACCCACCAGCCACTCCTTGGAAGGAAGGTTGGGCAATCTATTTGCGTGGTGATACTGCCTCGGCAACCCAAGGAGGGGTCGCTATGAGTTGGGGCCGACTCAATGGCACATAACAACAACAACTCAACAGACCTATAACAAGTGAAGAGATCAAATCAGTGATCACAACCTCCCAACCCAAACAGTCCTGGACCAGATGGCTTCACTGGGGAATTCTACCAAACATTTAGAGAAGAACTGATGTCAATGCTGTTTAAACTCTCTCAAAAGGTAGAGAAGGAAGGAGGAATACTTCCTAATTCTATGAAACAAACATAACCCTGATACTAAAACCAGACAAAGACACCACAAGAAAACTACAGGCCAATATCTCTGACAAATATAGATGGAAAAATCCTTAACAAAACTGGAGTGAATGAAATCCAATAGCATATTAAAAGAGTCACACATGGTGATCAAGTGAGATTTATTCCAAGAATGCAGGGATGGTTCCACATTAGAAAATCAGTCAACGTCATACCCCAAGAGAACAAAAGAAAATCACACGATCATCTCTATGGATGCAGAAAAAGCACATGATAAAAAGAACACTCTTTCTTGATGAAAATCCTAATGAAGACTGGAAGAGAAGGTATGTTCCTTAATATGATTCATGGCATATATGAAAAGCCAACAGTCAACGTTCTATTTATGGAGATGACTGAGAGCTTTTCCCTTGAAATCTGGAACAAGGCCAGGATGCCTGCTCTCACCACTTCTACTCAATATTATATTAGAGTCCTACCCAGAGCAATAAAACATAGAGGGAAAAAAAGGTATCCAGACTGGAAAAGAGTGAGTAAAATTCTCTCTATTCATGGATGATCTGATCCTATATATAGAAAATCTCAAAGAGTCCACAAGCAGACTTTTAGAGTTAATAGAAGAATTTAGCAAAGTTGCTGAGTCAACAAACAAAAATCAGTAGGGTTTCTATATATCAGCAATGAGATATCAGAAAGGGAAGTCAGGGAAACAATTCCATTTACAATAGCATCTAAGAGAATTTAGTTGATTTCAAGTTGACACCTTGAAGTTGTCAAGGATTTCATATTACTTGGCTCTATAATCAACACCAATGGAAACAGTAGTCAAGACATCAGACGACGTATTGCATTGGGCAAATCTGCTGCAAAAGACCTCTTTCAAGTGATGAAGAGCAAAGATGTTTCCTTGAAGACTAAGGTGTGCCTAACCCAAGTCATGGTATTTTCAATCATCTCTTATGCATGTGAGAGCTGGACAATGAATAAGGAAGACCAAAGAAGTGCTGATGCTTTTGAGTTGTGGTGTTGGAGAAGAACGCTAAGAGAACCATGGTCTGCTAAAAGGACTAACGAATCTGTCCTGGAGGAAGTGCAGCCAGAATGCTCCTTGGAAGTGAGAATGGCCAGACTTCATCTCACCTACTTTAGTCATGTTTTCAGAAGGAACCATTCCCTGGAGAAGGATGTCATGCCTGGTAAAGTGGAGGGTCAATGAAGGCCCTCAATGAGAAGGATAGACACAGTGGCTGCAGCGATGGGCTCAGGTATGGCAAAGATCATGAGGCTGGCACAGTACTGGGCAGTGTTTTGTTCTGCTGTGCACAGGTTTGCTATGAGTCAGAAATGACTTGATGGCACTTAACAACAACATCTAAGAGAATAAAATACTAAGGAATAAATATAACCAGGGACATGAAGGACTCATACAATAAAAAATACACTACACTGCTGAAAGAGATAAACCCATTGCTGTTGAGTACACTCCAATTCATAGTGACCCTACAGTACATAGTAGAACTGCCCCCAAAGGGTTTCTAAGGCTGTAAATCTTTACAGAAGCAGACTTCCTCATCTTTCTCCCACAGAGTAGCTGGTGGGTTCTAACCACCAACCTTTTGGTTATCAGCCAAAGTCTTGACCACTGCATCATCAGGGCTTCTGAAAGAGATTAAATACTTAAATAAATGGAAAGAGGTTCCATGTTCATGGACTGGAAGGCTTAATATTGTTAAGATGCCAGTGCTACCCAAAGCTATATATATATTCAACACAATCCTAATGAAAAGTCCAACCATCTTCTTTACAGAAATAGAAAAAACAATCCTCAACTTTATATGGAATGGCAAGAGGCCCCAAATAGCTAAAGCAATGCTGGAAGAGTAGAATAAAACAGGAGCACTCACACTTCCTGATTTTAAAACAATTATACGGCTATGGTAATCAGAACAGCCTGCTCCTGGTACAACAACGGACACACAGATCAATGGAATAGAATTGAGAGTCCAGAAATAAACCCACACATCTATGGTCTACTGCTTTTTGACAAGGATGCTAAGTTCATTTGATAGGGAATGAACAACTCTTCAATAAATCATGGTGGGAAAACTGGATTTCCACATCCAGAAAAATGAAACAGGACTCATGCCTCACATCATACACAAAAACAAACTCAAAATGGATTCGGGACCTAAATGTGCAAATTAAAACTCTAAGCTTCTGAGAAGAACTGCAGGGGCAATGCTGTCAGGCCTAGTTTTTAATAATGGATTCTCTAATGTAGTAACAAAAGCACAAATAGCAAAAGACAAAATAAATAAATATGACCTTATAAAAATTAAACACTTTCATTCATCAAAAGACTGTAGCAAAAAAGTGAAAAGACAAGCTACTGACTGGGAGAATACCTTTGCTTATGTGATGGATGATGTTGTTTTTCTAGTGTTGAACCATCCCTGCATACCTGATATGAACCCCACTCAGTCATACTGTATTACTTTTTGATACATTGTTGGAGTCTACTGGCTAGGATTTTGTTGAAGATATTTGCAGCTATAGTCATGAGGGATATTGGTCTGTAGTTTTCCTTTTGAATGAGGTCTTTGCCTGGTTTTGGTATCAAGGTTATGCTTGCTTCATCAAATGAACTTGGGAGGATTCCACCCTTTTCTATGTTCTGGAATAGTTTGAGGACTGGTGTCAGTTCTTCTCTGAATGTTTAGTAGAATTCTCTGGTGAAACCGTCTGGGCCAGGAGATTTTTTTGTTGGTAACTTTTATGACCTGTTCAATCTCTTCTTTTGTTATGAGCCTGTTGAACTTTTCCATCTCACTCTGTATTAGTTTAGGTAAGCAGTGTGTTTCTAGAAATCTGTCCATTTTGTCTAGATTTTCAGCATAGTGGCTAAGACACTTGCCTGCTAACCAGACGGCTGGCGGTTCAAACCCACCAGCCACTCCTCGGAAGGAAGGTTGGGCAATCCTACTTCCGTAGTGATACTGCCTCGGAAACCCAAGGAGGGGTCGCTATGAGTCGGGGCCGACTCGACGGCACATAACAACAACAACAACAATAGTTTTTCATAGTGTCCTGATATTATCTTTTTTATTTCAGTTGGTTCTGTTGTGATGTTGCCCAATTTGTTTCTTATTTGTGTTATTTGTATTCTGGGAGAATATCTTTGGAAACCATGTATCTGATAAGACTCTAATAACAAAAATGTATATAAAACTTTGACAACTTAACAACAAATGGACAAATGACCCAATCATAAAATGGGCAAAGGACTTGAAGAGACATTTCACCAAAGAGGACATTCAAATGACCACCAAATACACAAAAGGATGCTCAGAGTCAGCCATCAGATAGATGTAAATCAAAACCACAATGAGATAATGTTTTGCTCCTACAAGGATGGCTAAAACCAAAAAAAATAATAATAACAAATGCTGGTGAGGATGTGGGAAAACTAGAACCCTTATCCCTTGCTGGTGGTAATGTAAAACAGTAAAGCCACTGTGGCAGACAGAGTGGCGGTTCCTCAAAAAACTAAAAGCAGAATTACCATACGACCCAATAATTTCACTCCTAGGTACATACCAAAATACTTGAAAGCAGAGACTCAAAACATTGTACACTAATGTTCAATGTAGCACTGTTCACAATAGCCAAAAGGTGGAAAAAAGCTAAACATCTATTAACAACAGATGAATGAGTAAACAAAATGTGGTACATATATGCAATGGAGTACTACTTAGCCAGTAGGAGAAATGAAGTCTTGACACATGCGACAGTATGGATGGGGCTTGAAGACAATATGCCAAGTGAAATAAGCCAATCACAAATTGACAAATACTGTATGAAGTCACTTATATATAAGACAAGAAAAGGCAAATGTATAGAGACCAAAATTTACTAGTGGTTACCAGGGGCAGGAGGGAGGCAGAAAAGGGATGTTAAAAATGATGGAAAAATCACACTGATTAAAGGTAAGGTTGCAGAGCCAATTACTGTAATTACTGTCAGTAAGGTGTACACCTGTAAAAAGTTGAATTGGCAAAAGTTGTGTGCTATACCTACAACAACAACAAAGAGTACCTGCTGAGCCTATTATATCTAACCAAACATCTCACGGAATTTGGTTCCTTGGTTTGGAGGTACAGGGTCATGGTTTCATGGGGCATTCCAGTTAATTGGCCTAATAATGTGTTTAGTGCTTCTGT